GCTTTGTCATTGTATTCTAATATCGAATTTCTATTAATGTAAGTTTCTCTTTTACTCTAATCCATGAATATGATAACTTTGATTGTTGAGATTGTTGATTTTGAATTTCATATGAGTAGTTAATTCGTTCGCTAGGGATAGGAGATGATGATGATGTTTAGAATTTAATTTTAATTTTCATGCTTGTTGATCGTTCAATTTATGCGAGTTGTACTTAACTAGGGTTTATAATTCTCATGCTTAAATGTTGAATATTATCGAAGAGTGACACTTCGATTTGTAATTGATTTCCAACTGAATATGATTTGTTTTTGTTGATGTGTTTAAATCCAACGAACTAGTAGATTAACAATCGTCTAGGATAATTAATCAACTCTTAGAACCGAAAAGAAAGGAGTTGATCGATCTAGGCTCGCATGAAATAGACTTGTTCGAAAACGTATTGTCTATGTGTTGTGTGGTTTGTTTGATTTACCGTCTATGTTATCCTCTTGTTACGAAGAGTTATTGAGGACTATCTATAGACGTTAAGTTGTTCGAACTATTTAACCGAATGATCTTAGCTTGATATTTGCATTGGTTAGAAAATTATCATCCCCGACTCTCTAGCTTCTCCATTGTCACTTGATTCTTATTTTCGGTTGATTTATGTCTTTGTATTATTTTATAGTTCTTAGTTGATAAAACTATTCATCTTGATTAGTATGTTTAGGCTTTATTCTACTCTTGTTTGTTATCAATACTGAATCTAAATTCCGAACCGTCTTCCTTGAGAGCTCGACCTGGGGAATGGATCTTTTGATTTGGTATTCGGTAAAAATAAAAATAATTTGCTACAACATACAGCCTTCCTCACCTTGGTCATGGAATCAGGCGACCAACTCACCGAAAAGGCAGCCATGGTGTCGCGAGATCCCGTCGGTACAGCCAAATCGAGCTCCATCGACTAAGAAACTGGGCCTCAACACAAATAGGGTCCGAATAGGGTGGCCAGGGGCCGTCCTCTGTCAAGGTGCTCGATGGATCCACCGGGGAAGTCAAATCTGAAGAAATTCACGACGAGAAGATTATGGGAATTTTTTATTTTTTGTTTTTTTTTTCTTAGAGAGAGAAATAGATTTGTTTGGTGATCATGATACTGCTTGTTAGAAAAGAGAAACATGAAACTTTCATTTTATAATAGTCGGTAATCACTTAATAACATGCATAAATGTTACTAAAACACTATAAGTTAACATGTGTCAATACAAACAACATAACATATCCATTATATTCCCAACAGGTTGGGGTCTGCGGGTTCAGTTGTACGCAGACCTTACCCTTGTAATTATACAAGGAGGTTGTTTCCGTAACGACTCAAGGTGCATTGCGTCGTTTGGTATATTTTTATTTTTCTAGAGACTTCACTAATAAAAGAAGCACCAGAATTTAATTGAGCCATTTTGATCTAGTTCATTATTAGCACTATGCCAGGAGAATTGTCAACAATGACTTTTCCAGCTCCATTTGCGATGGACAAAACATGTGTCAATATAATAGTATAATTTCAAATGAGGTACGGCATAATACAATTTCATAATTTGATCATTACTAAGAATAAAGAGGTATAAATATAAATTATTTAAGTATATATGAATTGAGATGCATTTCGGTGAAAATGGTGCTCGGGG